TTTATCAGAGCACTTTGTGTAATACTCGATTTAGAATATTTTTAATCTGGTTCAGTTGCCGTGGATCTAAGTGGTACTGCTTTTGAACGGCTGCTTCCCTGTTCGATGCTACACAAGATTTGATGCAATATGGTGTTTTAGAAAAGCCTGCAACAAAAGCTTCGCACAGGAAGCTGAGGCTCTGCTGCCGCATGGCAGATAGAGCCGACGTCTCACTAGTGACTTCTAGTGGCAGTTCTGCCGTATTGCGGGGACTTTCTGATTTCAGGCAAAAGCCATGTAGAAATACGACCCCCCCGACATGAGAATGAGCTAGATGTTAGTCTTAATGAAGTCGTGACTGAAGTAAGTATTTTTTTATGAGTCAGAAGTTTTCATGAGGATAGAAACCAAATTTAATTTTATTATTTTTTATTGCCGACATTGTTCTGCCGGCCTCAGACTTTAATCCCCTGCTTAAGGGTCAATGGAGTGAACCGCAGCCCCCTGCTGGGGAATAAAGGTCCACGCAGTGTGTGGGAGATGGAGCACATGAGATGGCAGACGAGAGGAAGGTGGGGGGGGGGGGGGGGGAGGGGGGGGGGGGGGGAAGCGGAGGACCGGTGAGGAGGCCGGGGTGAGAGGAGGTGAGCGGGATGATGACGATGCCGATGACTCCTCCTCCCCCGCACAGGTGTTTGACCTCAGGCAGTGCCACAGGCAGATGCACCAGCAGGCCGCCACGGCGCAAGCGGCGGCGGCGGCTCAGGCGGCTGCGGTAGCCGGGAACATCCCCGGGCCAGGAAGCGTGGGGGGCATCGCCCCCGCCGTCAGTGAGTAACGCGTTGGCGGAGCGACCGTCCGGCAGGGCGGCACGTCTTAGCCGCCTGTCTGTCAGCCTGATCGCCCCCCCCCCATGCACGGGGGGACGGCACAGAAGGCCGCATGAGTCAGGCCCACATCCCGCCGGGAGGGATAGCGGTACTGATCACACGTTTCATCTCGGCCTTTTCCAGAAAAGACTGAACCCCGGAACTCTTTAAAACCTGCATTTCAGCCGTCTTCTGTTTTCTGTCTCTGTCTCATATCTGTATCATCCTCATATGTCTTATTTTCACATATTTATATTCAATTTTTTACTTATTCTGCACTTCGACCAGCAAAAACAATATTTCAGCTGGGTGTGTGTCTCCGCAAACCCTACATCAGAAGCTTACAGTAAGACATTTTGTTTTGCCTGTGTGCTTTAGAAGCTTCATCTTCGCATCTCCTCTTCCTCAGGTCTGTCTGCGGCGGCGGGCATCGGGGTGGACGACCTGCGCAGGCTGTGCATCCTACGCCTGAGCTTCGTGAAGGGCTGGGGTCCGGACTACCCCCGGCAGAGCATCAAGCACACCCCCTGCTGGGTAGAGGTGCACCTACACCGGGCCCTGCAGCTGCTGGATGAGGTGTTGCACACCATGCCTCTGGCCGACCCCGGGCCAGCCAACTGAGGGGGGGGGCGGGTCGGGGGCAGCCGCGCGAGTCCCCTCCGGCACATCGCACACACCCACAGGAGAAGATCACTTGCTGAGCAGATCGTAATGACGTTCAGTTACACAGGAAAAAGCCCCCATCTCCTTTGTCCTATGACCAACATGGCAGTCTGCATCCACGGCGTGATCGGATGCTGAATAGAAAAACACCACAGCTCTCTTTTTCCCCACTACATTTGCCGGCTGTGAGATAAACTCTTAATCCGTGGGACTGATGCTCAGTGATGCTCCCAAATCTTCATCTGCTCCCTGCTCATAAGAATCTCGACAACCAAAACCAAGGGATGGTTACAGCACCAAATTCATACCAACTAACCATGTCAGCACTTCCGGCTGAGCTCTCGAACTGCTTCGCGTTTTGCTGTTATTGCTTTGCGTGTAAAACGTCACTTTTATCGAAACTAGCTTTATTTCCTGGGATTCTTCTCTTCTTTCTCGAGCTAACGTTTTCTTCCTCTTACAAAATGCACCAAAACTTACCAAAAGTGAAAGCCAAAAACAAACAAAAAAAAGTTAGTGGTATAGATATTAGTGATTGTACTTTACGGTTTTTTTAACCGCTTGCCAAAACAGCGTAACTCACCAAAGTCAAGATACAGTACCTCAGACCAAGTTAAAACCGCTGCTTCTTAATCCAAAAACTACAGATGAATGGTGTATAAATCGTCTCTTGTCCCTGGTCTGTTAAACCTTTGGTCTTCTTTGAAGAAAGCATGGTCTCTTGCACACTTCTTCAGTGTGTTACCTCTTGAGTTCCTCCAGTAGGAATTCGGTAGAAATTCGGATGCATAAATCGATAAATTTCATTTTATATGCCCCTGAGCAGGGATGACTGCTTAAAGGAAAAAATATACATGTACAGTGCAAATAGTGGTTAAACTTCGCTTATACATGAATGTGAGAGCTAACTGTTGGTCCAGAGTTACAGTTTGTACAGATCTGTTTTCCGTGCCTGGCTAAGAAGGAGGTGTAACGCCCGCGTTGCGTTGCAGCTCTCGCCGATCTCTTCGTTAAAATGAATGGCTCCGATTTCAGAGCCGGTTTGGGTCTGCGGGTCCTGTTACCGGTGTGGCGGGCACATGAAACCAATATGACCAACAGCGCAATAATATTCGAGCGGACCCCCAGAGGAAGATCAGCCCCGCGATTTCAGTCTGAGTCACGCGGTAGGTCTGTGTCCGCGAACCGCAAGCCGTCGGTCTGGTTGCGCGGTTGTGCCGTTTCTAAACGCCAGCTAACACGGGTCGCCCGAGTGGATGCGGTCTCAGGTGAGAGACGATCAGTGAATCTTAATCCAAGAAACGGGTGACTCGTGTGGTCACCATCAGCTTCGGTTTGTCAGATTTTTTTTTCTCCAAATCTGTAATAGGTTCGTGCCTTTACCGTGAAGTACAAATTTCATTATTTTGAACCCCTCACTACATTAGGAAATGTATACCGTCTTATCCCTGTTTTTAAATGTATTGCACTGACTATTTTGTGGAAGCAACCTACAGACTGTATAGTTAGTAAATGGGAAATGTACAGAAAAAGTTTTATGTATGTGCAAACAATTTGCCGAATAGGCTCATGCAGTAATGGACTACAGTACCAGTATGTGTAGTAAGATTAACAGCTTGTGAATCTTTAAAGTGCTATATGCAGCCACAGATTCTATATATTTTGAGTATTTTGTTTTTATTCAGTATTACAATAGACTCTGGTAAAAACATAAACACTATGTTACATTGCTAACAGCTTGTGCAGACATGCATACTAAATATGTTTTAAATTTTTTTTATACATTTTTATTTTTAATAGTGGCTTAGGTGTGGTTGGTACTGAGATACTGATTATGTGCATTTAATTACTGTGGTAAAATGTGCCCCGAAACATTGTAAAGAAAAAATGATGCGATAACTCTACACCATAGTATGCAGTTCTGTGTTATATTAAAGAGTTTTATTTATTGTGAATAACTGTTTGCCTCAGTAGGATACCATCAGTTCCCATATGAATTTGATGCTGTCATGCTATGGTAGCTAATCTGAAATGTATTTTTTTATTATAGTATCTGGTTTTAAAATTTACAATAAGAGTATTATTTCATTTGAAATGCTTTGCGATATATAAGCGAGACTCGCTCATCTTTGAAGCTACATTTATGGCTTGTCTGCCTAAAGCCTGTTTCGGTTACTTTAAAAAATATATAACGATCTATAATCAAGTGTGAATCAATTCAATTTGGCTTTAAGATTTTTTTTTTGTTATTATTGTTATAGTTAAATATTGTAAAAATGCTGCTCTTAGTGTTTACTGTACACCAAAGTCAATTAAAAGTACTAGGAAAAACTTTTGATATAAGCTGTAATGATCTGATTTCACTACTGCAGAGAAAGGAATTGAGTGTTTGGTGTGTGTGTGGGGTGTGTACAAGCGCTTGATTTATCCTTGCTTGAATATGGATCAGAATATTTTCAAACCAGATGCGACTGTAATATTAATGGCCTTCATAAAAGTCATGGAAATTTTACTTGGTGTTTTACATACACAAAGTTAACTTTTGTATTAGTTAAAAAGAAGAAAACGGTTTGAAAACATGATTACACACAACATTTTCCAAAAATCTCTCCTACATCAAATCAGTAGAGTGCTATTATCATGCTTATATATTGGAAAAACAAAGTGTAATCAAACATTTATAACCATTTATAGATGGTTTGGTGGGTCACATGCTGTTTTCACTTCTGACAGGCTGAAGACTTGGATGATTTCTGTGTCAAGTGTCTTTGTGGGTATATATTTGTTTGTTTCCAGTGGTGGACTGAAATCTCCTGCTCCGTTTTCCCCTCATCTATATAGTCTCCCCACGACCTTTCACAGTATAAATAAGATTATCTCATCCTTCTTTGCACATTGATAATATTTTTTTTTTGTGGGAATCAAACGTTAATGGGCACGGCAAACAATTATGCATTAAGACTTATATGGCAATTGTTAAAGAGACCAAAAAAGTCTTTTCATATACGAATACATGTGCTGGAGCGCGAGGCGGCTGTTTTAGTTAACGAGCAGCCAATGGGACATTCCCTGGCAGGCTGCTGGGCTCCCAAGCCTGTCATTTTCTTTTATGTTCAGCGAGTAAAACGTATAACCTGAACACAATTTTGATGACTGGTACTTTTCATGACCTCCTAACCAACAGCTGTCGGCCAAGAGCTTTCAATAGACCGTGATGCACAACCTGGACCTGGACCTTACGCCCGTGGTCTTGGGCCATCGACGGCTGTCTTACAGGGCGTGGCCGCCTTTGTGATAGCCGGAAGGTGGGCCCTGCCGCCATGATTGACGTGCTCGTCTTGCCGGAGGGGGCGTCGCTGCCCTTATTTCAGCGAACGCGCTCCGGACTCTGGGCGTGTCCAAACCGGCTAATGAGCACGTGGGCGGAGCCTGACTCCCTCCCCGTACCAGTGCCGTGCTGCAGCCGCATCCCAGATTGAGCATCCCTGGCTAGGAGCTAGAGGGAGCACCATCGCATCCTTCGGAGCCACAGTACCGTTACCGGTGCCTCTCAGCTCGGAGAAAGGCAGCGAAACGCCAGAAGCCGCTTGGAGTAGCTTCATTCACACGGGTCCTAAGAACTATATAAAGATTTTTTAATTTAAAGATGAAATAAATACGTATATTTTTTATTTCATTTCTAACAGCATCACAACATTCGCAATCTCAAAATGGCTGAGATAACCAATTTGAGACCGACGTATGGTAAGTAGCAAGCTTACCCACTGATATCGTCTCTAAATCTGCGCCGTATAATATGTAACAGGCGGTCTATGGCTACCGTTATGAATGAAGGTTTTCAGATCGGTTAGAGGTTTTAGATATTCCCCTGGCATTTCGAGCAGGAAAGGCACCTAAAAACTGCAAGCCACGTGATGTGATGTCCATTATGTGTTTCTAATAGCAGGCAACTGGGTTTATCAAAACACTAGTAAATGAACGAATAATATGTCCGTGATTAGGTCGGGGATTTTATATTCTCGGATTTTCCTTCTCCGTTTCATTTAACACAATGTAAACTCATAATTACCACTTGGATCGATGTCACCAGGCTAAAAAACTGAATGTAGAAAATCTCGGTTTGGGCAATTTGGCACTCTTATAAACCACACTGAATACATTAATAATCGAGTGGATATTTAAATTACGAAAGGTGAAATAGCATTAAAATATGTGCTGTTCTTCCTTCCCGTTCTATTTAGGCTACTTGTTTATCAGTGTTTATAATCTATCGTAGGGGATCTTTACAGTAACTCTTACCAATTGTAACTATGTTACACCTTAAAAAATGAAAATAATATATTTCATAGTTAAATATTTCATGAAGTATAATTTTTCCTATTTTACAGATTTTTCATGTGTCAGGTCGCTGCCACTTGCTTCGTCATTTGCGCCCTAGGAGGGTGTGGGAGAAAATATTGACGTATTTGCCCGTTTGTGTGGGGCGGCGGTGAACGCAATAGGATGCGTTTTAGATTTTGACTAATTAAGTCGACGAATGTTTTTAAATGAGCAATTTAGATCTGAAACCGTGAAGCCGTATAAGCTATGCCCTGTGACCCCTCCACTGCTGGTTGTACGTGTGCGATGCTTTGGATGAGTATGACGTTATGTCTATTCCTAGTCAGGCGTCGCCTATCTCCGCTTATCTATTGTTTTTTGTTAAGACACAGAAACCTCGTACATTCGCATATTTTTCATCTTATATATGCATCTGTCTCAGGTCGATTTCTATGTATATAGTTAATTTCCAGCCACTTAAGTGCGTGCTCTATGTGGCAGAGCACACTTATAACAAAATGGAGTAATAGTACAGTGTTATTACAAAGTGATGTGGTGTTTTACGGTATTGGGCAATTCACGCAAGCTGGTTGGATAGACGAGGGCGGTGAATTGTCTTACGCACAGTGATGAGGGCTTTTAACAGAGATGCTCAGTAGGTTTAACACTTAAGGAAGAAACGCCTTAAGTGCCAAATGCGCAAGAAATAAAAAATGGGCCTTTTGGTGTTAATACTGCTGTATATATTTCCTGGACTCTGCTGAGTGGAATCCTTTTATAATATGGGCTGTAATCAGAATGGATACTGGTCTTGCTCGTGCTATTAGGGTGCTATACCCACCACAATGTATGAGGATATTTGGGGGAAAAATTCACGATAACGCCTCGTCTCAGGTGTCAGGTTCTTTATACGATCCAATATCTGAAACGTGCTGGGCTGCGATGGCTCCCAGTTTCTTCAGTTTGATGCACAGTGGGGAGATATTGGTGCGGTTTATAACAATCCTATCAATTACTCTGGTAATTATCCGTCTAACAGCTGCTTATCTAGACCAGAGCGCAGCAAATGGCACGAGGCAGGGGAACACCCTGGATGGGATGCCAGGCCCTCACAGGGCGCACGCACACCCAATCGTACGTCTCTGCTAACGTAGAGACGCCAACTCGTCTAAATCAGTCATCCACGATGCCACCCTCTAGAAATTGTCACATCATTTATTTAATAAACGGTGATAAGTACTGTTTACTGATTATTGATTGAATTTTATTGTACCTATTGTGTGCATTCTATTCTATTCTATTGTGTTTTATGCGATGAAACATTCTGGATGAAACTACTTTTTGAAGAGGACGTAGCAGTCTGCTGGCACCCCTCCCTCAGTGTTTCCCAGCCTCATGTCCTTGGCTTCCTAGCAAGAGTCTCAGGCTCTCCGCAACCCCGCATTTGAGTCGGTCTGCGTGTAATTTAAACACTCGATATAACAGATGTCAGGAAGAACTTCTTGCAGTGTGGGTGATGTCTGGAGGGTGGGCAGGAGGGACCGTTCAGGCTCTGTGAATCACTATCATAGCTTCCAAGTTGGCAGAATTTATCTCCTTATCCAAAAATACATTTTTTAGCAACAAATTTTATCCGAAGTCGACTGCCTGGTGAATCGTTTGGGGGACGATTGGCTTGACTAGGTTACAGAATCAGCGTCAGAAGACTGCTGTCTTGGTTGGGTCCAGCAATCTATAAGCACCGTGTCCTGATCTCTGTGAATCTGTGCTGCGTTTTGGTCTGGTTAGGTAGCAAAAAGCTGCACTGTGGTATTATGTTTTGTCCTTAATGTGAACTGTAAATCACAGGCAGTTATTTTGGTTATGCTACGGCATTAAAGGTCATTAGCCTGTATTGTGGCCGGCAATAGGGCTCACTGAGGGGTTTCACTGAGGCCCTGAGCAGGGCAGTATGCTCTCTTTTAATGGATTTTTTTGTTCAGGCGTGGACAGACCATTAATCTCGGGGAGCCTCGGGCTTCCAGCTGACCCGGCTCTTACCTGGGGTGCTTTTTTCTGGACACACTGCGGTAATGACTGGTCATACAGTGGCAAGCAGGCTGAGGGAGAGGCGGGGCTGTGCCTCATAACGCAGTGTCCTCAAACAGCCCTTCGCTGCCATGGCGTCTCGTAAACAGAGCTCTCTGCTGAGGTCACACCCGAAAGCCCCGTCAGAAAGCGAGCGGAAAAGATAGGGGTCTCCTTAAAAGATAAAACGCTTGGTCAGCATGTTAGGGGACAGGGGTGCTGTCTATGGTTAGCATTTTTTTGCTGTAATAATTATTCATAAAGACACATAATAAAGCATAGAATTAGGACTTTTATGCAAGATGTGAATGATGTCTGAAATCGATAACCGTTTTGTTCATGAAAATATGAAAATATAAGCATCGTATTCTAGTGGTGCTGAGCAAAGGCCTTCCTCCACGCCGCTGTGGGGGAATTTTCCCACACTAGCTGTGGATTTTATGCTTTTTGACTCTTTCTGGAGGGTGAGCTGCCTTGTAATTACTTGTTGCGTTATGGAGGAATACAGCATGACTGATTGACGGGTGAATTTAAGGTGTTGAAGCCGTGTTCATCTGTACTGAGCCGATCCGCTTTCCTCTCCCGTTCAAACAACTAAAACCACCGTCACACATTTTCTTGTGCGTCATTCCCTGGCCGAGCGTGGGAGCTGAACATGTACTCGACTGAAAAAAGACGGAAATGATAAAAAACGGAAACTTGTGCTCGGTGCTCAGGAGGCGAAATGCGCGGATGCAGCCATGTTTTCTCTGTATTACGACAATTGCTAATTAAAGATAAACCTGCAAAAATGCTGTTAGCAGAATTAGTCACGTATCTGGCTAATGAAGTGACTTTTAATTCTCAATCAGATAAAAATCTGTCAGCCTTTCAGTTGTATGTGTATTAATTGTACTACAAAGAGGAATTCCAGTTACAATTTTTTATAACGCTCAGCTGTGCAGCTGTCGTAGTACCGTTCCAGCAAAGCACCAGATATTTTTTGTCACAAATAATTATGTTAACAATATTCACTGTCCTTACTGGTGCTACAAAAATGTTCACTGACTTTATAAAATGTGATAACACGGAGAATGTAATACTTATGCTGGACATAACCATACCAGATACTTTTCAGGCACACTTCTTAATAATGCTTATATACAGTTACTGCAGAAAGGGAAATAAAAAGGAATAATATTATTCAGTGTTAAAGTATTTAGTAGTTTAGTATTTTTATGTCTGTATGCTAAGTAATAAGTACACCTTTGAAAATAATTATTTGCAATTGAATGACTTATGGATCTAGCTGTTTATTATTTATGATGAATTTTAATTGCACTTAATTTAACATTCATAATTCTGGCCCTCGCTTCCTGCGCCCTGGGTCATTCCTCAGTACGCCGACGTGTGGGAGGGCCTCAGGTGGCTATTGATATTCAGCACTAAGCCCACGAGTGTTTGGACAGATGAGCCTCCATCCCTAACCTCTACATGCCTTAAGACACTGGTACCCGCATCCACACAGCACTGGTGCACCACCCGGATTCCCAGGGCAAACCCACCTCCGAAAACTCTCTGCTACTCCGCCCCCTCCGTCCTGCATCCACGCATCTGCATAATTGGCACAGTCCACCTCCCCCGCTTGTACGACATGCCTTCAGCTCATTGTCCCCGAGGTAGGGGTGTGGAGGAGGGGGGGGGGGCGGCTGAAGGGAATCTGAAGAGGTCGCCTTTGTTGTGCGACGCCCGTGAGAATTGGGCGGGGCTTGAAAATGCTTCCTGCATGCCGGTGTAGACGATCCCCCCCCCCAGATACTCTTAGGACAGTGACCGGCGATTGATGCATTCTCTGTGTGCCACATATGATGTGGCTGATTTATAAGCCGTGATGTCTGAGGCTGAAATGAGTCGCTTCTCAGATGGTCGACTCCCTGTAGATGCTGAGGAAACACTAAAGACATACAGGCGGTAGCTGAAGGGGCTTTAGCCTGCAGGGGGGTTTTCTGACTTGTGGCACTTGATGCATAATTATGTGTGTATTTTACTCAGTGTTGGCTTCAGTGATTAATTTCTTTTATTTGATTGATGAGATAGACAGATATTGATTGATGGATGGACGGACGGACGGATAGATAGATAGATAGATAGATATAAGAGCAGTCTGGATAACAAAGCGTCTTATTGTCATATTAAAAGGTGAGAATTGAAAAATACCTTACAGCACTTTACTGTGGGTGTTTCATCATGTGACGCACCGGGAGGGTGTGGATTCCTCTCTCAATGCCTGTATCCAGTTTTAGCAGGTTTAACGTCGCTGGCTGTGTGTTTGGGTGAGCGGAGAGAGAGACTGAGCGTAACGGCCCGGACCCGGTGGC